TTGTGTCATCTATAGTGGATGTTGTGTCATCTATAGTGTATGTTGTGTCATCTATAGTGGATGTTGTGTCATCTATAGGGGATGTTGTGTCATCTATAGTGGATGTTGTGTCATCTATAGTGTATGTTGTGTCATCTATAGTGGATGTTGTGTCATCTATAGGGGATGTTGTGTCATCTATAGTGGATGTTGTGTCATCTATAGTGTGTGTTGTGTCATCTATAGTGTGTGTTGTGTCATCTATAGTGGATGTTGTGTCATCTATAGTGGATGTTGTGTCATCTATAATTAGATATTGTATCATCTATAAAGAGATATTTGTGTCATCTATAGTGTGTGTGTTTATCCAATCATCTATAGTGTGTGTTGTGTCATCTATAGAGATGTTGTGTCATCTAGTATATGTTGTGTCATCTATAGTAGATATTTGTGTCATCTATAGTACAGATGTTGTGTCATCTAGTGTGTGTTGTGTCATCTACATAGTGTGTTGTGTCATCTATAGTAGATGTTGTGTCATCTATAGTGAATGTTGTGTCTTCTAGTAGATGTTGTATGTATAGTGTGTTGTGTCATCTATAATTAATGTGTTGTGTCATCTATAGTGTATTTGTGTCATCTATAGTGTATGTTATGTCATCTATAATTGTATTGTATCATCTATAGTAGATGTTGTGTCATCTATAGTGTATATTGTGTCATCACAAAGAGATATTTGTGTCATCTATAGTATGTTATGTCATGACATTATTTATATACATCTAGTAGATATTTGTGTCATCTATAGTATGTGTTGTGTCATCTATAGTGTGTGTTGTGTCATCTATAGGGGATGTTGTGTCATCTATAGTGTGTGTTGTGTCATCTATAGTGGATGTTGTGTCATCTATAGTGTGTGTTGTGTCATCTATAGTGGATTGTTGTCATCTATAGTGTGTGTTGTGTCATCTATAGTGGATGTTGTGTCATCCATAGTGTGTGTTGTGTCATCTATAGTGGATGTTGTGTCATCCATAGTGTGTGTTATGTCATCTATAGTGTTTTTTTAATTTTTCTTATTATTTCACTATAATTTGTTTATTTTTTGGATCTGATTCTTCTTTTGTTTTCTATTGTTGTTTTTTAAGCGTCTGATCGTTCTTTTTCTGTTGTTTATTCACATCGTTTATTTTAAGGTATTTTCTGTCGTATTTATGGATTTTCTTCTCATTCTCTTTCTCAAATTCATTCTCTTGGTTTCTTACGATCTATTCTCCTTCTTGTGTTTCTCTTTATTAATTTATGTATATTTCATATTATTCATTATCTCTCCTTCTCTCCACCATTCGTCTTCTCTTCTTAGTCTATATCTCTGTGTTATTTCTTCAGTCCTTCATTGTGCTTATTTTATTCTCTCTCTCTCTCTCTCTCTCCTTCTTTTCCTTCATTCGTGAAATATTAAGAGTAATTGCCTCTCTCTGTCTTTATCCTCTACGCATCTCTTTATTATCTCTGCCTTTCTTCTGATGTTTATCAGGTTTTCCTTATTCTCTTTCATGTGTCTAATTCCTCTTTTTTTCTCTTTCGTCTCAAACCATCCATTATTTATTTATTTCTCTCCTTTCACTTCTTCCTAAATCTCTTTTATCACATTTATCTCCTTCTCTCTTGTTCTCTCTTGTTCTGTCTTTCCTCCTTCTTTCTTTTCCTTGCGTCTCCTTCTCTCTCTCTCTCTCTCAAGTGACCCAAAATATAGACTTAAAAACAATATCGTATCGCTAAAACAAAGCAAAAAAATAATAGCAACAGATTTTGTGGTAGAAAGTATAAGTACCTAAGACTCCTTCAGAAAATTCGAGGCGTAAAGGATCTGTAAAACAAACTATAAGCTTAAGAGTTCATAAACCTGCAGAAATTACTGGAAACACTGGAAGCGCTGCCTCGGAGCACAATCTATCTGCGACAGATTAAAAAGATGAAAAATAACTAAGCGTGAAGACTTCCTCTCAAACAAATCTAGCGTTAGAGGGTCGGCGATCTCTTCCTGAGGCATTTACAGCCTCTTGGATCCTCCTCTTGCCTTGGGTAATGGTCGTCAGTGGAAGATTCGATACCTTCCTCCTGGCGACTTACATCTATTATACCCTCCCCTCTATCCCTACAGCCGAATATTAAATTTCCTTTTTTCAGCACGACAATATCTCATCGACTTAATAAACGTGGTACAAAAATTATTTAGTAGTATTTTGTTAGTGACGTCGCTTCTTATAAGTTTGAAGATATTGGACGGGTTGTTTCATAGACGGAATAGATTAAGTTTTCGGCTTTCTGTATCACAATAATAATAATTTGGTTGAGTGGGTAGTAGCGTAGCATTAGCTCTTTCTCTCTCTCTCCACAATTTAGTTTATTTTCTTCAGTAAAACATTTAGTTAGTTGCGGTGGATGTAAGGATTGAGCCAAGCAGTTCAAGATTCTCAAAGGTTCCTACGTTAGATTCTTACTCTTGGCTAGTTGATTCTTGGGGTAGAAGGGAAAGATAGGAGGAGGAGAGATGGTAGGAAAGGAGAAAGGTGGAGGAAGAGAAGGAGGTGAGAAAGGAAGAGGAAGGAGAAGTGAAGGAGAGGTGAAGGAATAAAACTTAAAAATATGAAAGACGAACACGCAAGAAAGGGGCATTGACCGGGGTATAAATAGAAAATTACAACACGAAAAAAATTATTAAGTGATACAAAGATGAGACAAAAGGAAATGATAAACAACACTGAATAAAGATAAATTAAGAACGAAGGCAAGAAAATTTAAAGAAAGAGATAGAGACAGATAAAGAGTGAGAGATATATAATAGAGATAGAAGAGGTTCGGTTGTCTGTGTTTGGACCAACTTTTACCAGGTCAATACTACTCTGTTGTATTTTCATTTGTTATCATACTGTTGCTTTACTGTTGTTATAGTTATACCTCTCTCTCTTTCAACCTCTCTCTCTTCCTCTCTCTCTCCCCCCCTCTCTCTCTCCTCCTCCCTCTGTCCTCCCTCTCCTCTTCCCTCTCTCTCTCCCTCTGTCTCCCCCTCTCCCTCCCCCTCTGTCTCCTCCCCTCTGTCTCCCCTCTCTTTCTCTCCCCTTTGTCTCCCCCTCTCTTTCTCTCTCTCCCCCCTCTGTCTCCCCCTCTCTCTCCCCCTCTCTCTCCTCTCTCTTCCCCCTCTCTCTCCCCTCTGTCTCCCCTCTCTCCCCTCTCTGTCTCCCCTCTCTCTCTCCCTCTGTCTCCCCCTCTCTTTCTCTCCCCTCTTCCCCCCTCTCTCTCTCCTCCTCTGTCTCCCCCTCTCTCTTTTCTCTCCCTCTGTCTCCCCTCTCTTTCTCTCCCCCCTCTCTCTCTCTCCCCCTCTCTCTCCCCTCTGTCTCCCCCCTCTCTCCCCCTCTCTCTCTCCCCCCCCTCTCTCTCTCCCCCTCTCTCCCCCTCTGTCTCTTCCCCTCTCCCCCCTCTGTCTCCCCTCTCTCTCCCCTCTCTCTCCCCTCTGTCTCTTCCCTCTCCCCCCTCTCCCTCCCCCCTCTCTCTCTCTCTCTCTCAACCCTAATAAACCTCTCTTGTATTACAGGTGAGTTGTGGTTTCCTCCTATTATCTCTCAACTACAGGTATTTAGCATTAACACCATCCAGTATTTAACAGTGATATCTTAGCTCTGATCAAGATTGTAGTATTATGTAACATTAACATTTATATAATAGTTAACAGGCATAATATTTGGTTACTGATCTCTCACAGCATCCTCCATCACTCGCCTACACCACCCTCACTCCCTACACCCCACCTACACTCCACCTACACCCCTACACCCCCACCACTCCAGCACCCTCCTTCACCGCCAACACTCGCCTACACTCACCTACACCCCACCTACACTCGCCTACACCCCTGCACTCCTGCTTTCACCTACCCACCTACACCCGCCCTCACTCCCTACACCCACCTACACTCCTTACCACCCACCTTCCTCACCTACACCCACCAGCACTCGCCTACACTCACCCACCACCCACCTACACTCGCCTACACTCCACCTACACCCCACCCACACCCTACACCCACCTACACTCGCCTACACTCCCTACACCCTGCTACTCTGCTTACACTCACCTACACCCCTACTCGCCTACACCACCATCACTCGCCTACTCCCCACCTACACCCCACCTACACTCACCTACACCCTGCTTACTCCTTACACTCACCTACACCCCTGCCTCGCCAACACTCACCTACACCCACCTACACTCGCCTACACCCACCACACTCACCTACACCCCACCTACACTCACCTGCACTCACCTACACTCACCAGCACTCACCTACACCCACCTACTCCACCCCACCCCCCACCTACACCCACCTACACCCACCAGCACTCACTGCACACTCCCTGCACCCCTTGCCTCGCTTACACTCACCTACACCTAACACCTACATCGCCCTACACCTGCCCTCCCCTCCACCCACCAACACTCCTTACTCACCTACACTCACCTACACCCCTGCCCACCCTCATACTCACCTCCATCCTCCCCTCTTGCACTCCCACCTACACCCCACCTACTCACTTCCCCACCTGCACTCCTTACACCCCACCAACATCATCCCAGCCTCCTGCCACCAGCATCTCCTGCACCCGCCTTGCCTCTGCCCACCTCACCTGTGCTCATCTCGCCCACCAGCGCCTGTGCTCCCGCCGCCATCCTGCGCCACCAGCTCCCATTCTCTCCTTCACCAGCCTCCTTCTGTCAGCCTCCACCTGCGCCCATAGCGCCCTCCACTCGCCGCCGTCCATCAGCCTGCTCGTACGCTCCGCCTCGCCGCCAGCGCCTCCTGCGCCACCAACGCTCGCCTACGCTGAGCACGCTCACCAGCCTTTGGTACACTCACCTGCACCCAGCCTCGGCCGCATACTTTCACCCGCTCATCGCACTCACCTGCACCCACCATACACGCTCCTGCCCGCAGCCTCCTGCACCAGCCTCGCCTGCTCATGCATCACCTGCACTCTTCTAGCGCTCCACTTTCGCCTGACATAAGCCGCTCACCTGCACCAGCCTGCCCACCTACCTGCTTCGCCAATCACTCTGACATTTCACGCCTCTACGCCCACCAGCACCCACCTACACTCGTGCCGCACCCTGCGCTACCAGCTGTTTGCCCCACCAACGCCCATCCTGCGCACCTGCACTCTTTTGCCACCATTCGCCTCCTGCGCCCCACCGGCACCACTCCTGCGCCCACCAGCCAGCGGCCTGACGGTTTGCTCTGCACCAGCGTCCTCATGCACTCAACGCTCTCCTGCACCCGCCATGCTTGTTCACTCATGCTGCGCTCACCTACACCCTTGTCTCGCCTTATCGCTGTGGCCTGCGCCCGCAGCGCCTCCTGCGCCCCGCCGACGCTCTCCTGCGCCCGCAACGCCTCCTGCGCCCACCAGCTTCATTGTTCTGTGGCTTTGCACTCCTGCACCCAGCGTCATCCTGCGCTCAGCGCCCTCCTGCGCCCATCCTGCGGCCCCGCACCTGCGCCTGCTCCTGCGCCCCGGCAGCGCCTCCCTGCGCCCCCCACCGGCTGGCGGTACCTGCGGCTGCACTCTCCTGCGCACACCAGCGTCATCTGCGCTCGCCGTCATCTGCCTGCAAGCTGCCAGTATGCTTACCAACGCCCATCCTGCTGCCCGCAAGCGCTCACCTGCACCAGCGCCCATCCTACTTACCAGCTTCTTGGCCTGCAACAGCCTATACGCCTCCTACACCCACCAACGTCATCCTGCACCCCTCCAGCGCCCTCCTGCACCAGCTTTCTTATACTGCCACCAACACCCCTCACACCAACGCTCACCTACACCAGCTTGCCCTCCTGCACCCCGCCAGCTTCTTGACCTACAACAGCTACGCCTCCTACGCCCACCAACGTCCTCCTACCTCCAGCACCTCCTACACCACCAGCTTTCTGGCCTGCGCCTGACACCTCCTACACCCACCTGCACTCACCTACACCCACCAACACCTCTACCCACCAGCTTCCGCCCAATATACAACCCAGCTACTGCCACTCCTACCAGCGTCATCCTGCACCCTCCAACGCCTCCACTACCTGGCTGGCCTTCACCCACCAACGCCTGCACCCCACCAACTGTAGCCTGCACCCGCCAACGCCCCATCACGCACCAACGCTCACCTGCGCCCACCAGCGCCCTCCTGCGCACGCAGCTGTGACCTACGCCTCCTGCACCCACCAGCATCACTCCTGCACCCATCAACTGCCCTCCTGCACCCACCAGCTGTGGCCACCCACCAACACCTCCTGCACCCACCTACACTCACCCCTACACCCACCAACACCCCTCCTACACCCACCAACTGCCAGCCTGCAACTACACCCTCCCTACACCAACATCCTCCTACGCCACTCCAACACCCTCCTACCAACTGCCTACACCAACACCCTCCTACACCCACCTACACTCCTACACCAGCACCCACCTGGCACCCACCTGCAACACCTCACCCACCAACAGCTGTGGCTACAGGCTACACCCACCAACGTCATCCTGCAACACATCTCGCCCACCAGCTGTGGCTACGCCTGCCTTGCCCATCCTGCCTGGCTGGCCTGTGAACACGCCCATCATCGCCCACCAACGTCATCTCGCATCCTGCACTTCCGCCAGCGTGCTCCTGCGCCCACCAGCGCCCTCACCAGCTGTTACCACAGCGGCTACGCCCTCCTGCGCCCACCAACGTCCTCCTACGCCCCACCAACGCATCCTACGCCCACCAGCCAGCAGCCTGCAGCAGCTTTCACGCCCCTCCTGCACCCACCAGCATCCTCCTGCACCCTCCTGCACCCGCAACGCCGCCTGCGCCTCCTGCGCACCAGCACCCACCACGCTCACCTGCGCCCGCAACGCCCATCCTCGCCCCGCCAGCTGCCAGCCTCTGGCAGCCTACGCTACGCTCACTACACCCACCAACGTCACTCCTACTTGCCCACCAGCACCCGCCTGCACCAGCATCCTGCGCACCGCCAGCTGTGACCTGCAACCAGCTTTCACGCACTCCTGCGCCCACCAGCGTCACTCCCTGCACCCGCTCAACGCACTCCTGCGCCCACCAGCACCATGGCCTGCGCAACGCACTCCCCTACGCCCGCCTGCGCTCTTCCACGCCCGCAACGCCTCCTACCCACCAGCTGTATTACTCTGTATATTTCACGCATCCTGCCGCCCACCAACGTCATCCTGCGCCTCAACACCTCTGCACCTGACTGCTTATTCGCCACCAGCACCCTCCTGCGCATACGCTCACCACCCCTGCCCTTACCACCCCACCAACACCCCACCTCGCCACCAGCACTTACCTGCGCCTGTTGCCTCCACGCCCCCACCAGCTGGCCCGTACCGGCAGCTACGCCTCCTACGCCTGGCGTCATCCTGCACCCGCAGCGCCCTCCTGCCTTACCGGCTGGCAGCCTGCGCACCAGCGCCCTCCTGCGCACCAGCGCACTCTACGCCCCACCAGCTGCCGGTACCGGCATTGCGCCCATCCTGCCCGCCAGCGTCATCACCGCGCATCCTGCGCGCACCAGCGTCATCACCACGCCACCAGCGCCGCTCCTGCGCCCGCCAGCTTTCAGCGGCCTGCAACCAGCTGCGCGCTCCTGCACGCCACCGGCATCATCCTGCGCCCCGCCAGCGCCAGGCAATGCGTGGCTTTA